CAAGTCTCCCAGGTTATGCAGAATCAGATTGAAAGGAATATTCTTCAATTATAGTTTAATTAATATAAATGCACTAACAGAAGATAAGAATTAGGAGAAGGATAGTTTTTACGGAAAAGTGCACGCACTGTATTCTGTCGCCCAAAACACGATATCAAAATTGTGTTCGGACATGCTAATGCCAAGATAGGGAAGGAAAGTAGATTCAGACCTACTATTGGTGGGCATAGCCTACATCATGACTCAAATAATAATGGGCTGAGAATGACATCTTTTGCTATGAACATGATATGGTGGTAGCCACTACTTGCTTTGCACACAAAAGTATTCACAAAATGACTTTCAGAATCTCTAGATTGTGACACTTTCAGTCAGATTGGCCACATCATAATTGACACCAGACATGCCTAAGCCATACTGGATGTCCGGTCATATCGTGGAGCGAATTTTGACCCAGACCATTACTTGGTAATGATGAAAAACGGAGCAAGAATCTCTAATGCCCGTAACAATCAGTGGATGAAATTAGAAAAATTTAAGTGTCTATTGCTGTTAAAAGAGAAAGATATAAAGCAGAGATACCAGAATGAATTGGAAACTCACTTAAAAAGCTTCAAATTGGAGGAACTGGTGTATATAGATGGGAGCTAGAATCTGTTAAAAGTGACTATTATTGAAACTGGCAGCAGAGTCTTAAGAAGAGCAAAAAAGAGAATGAGTGACGATTGGTTTGATCAAGAATGTAGGATTGCCACTAACTTAAAAATAAGGCACAAAAGAATATGCTTCAAAGAAAGCATACATATTAGCTGTTGACAAATATAAATGTGCTAGAAAAAATGGGGGGGGACATCTACTGTGTTAAAAAGAGGAACTTTCATAAAAATATTTTAAAAGATGTTGAATATCTTAGAGAAGTAAGGAAAAGCAGAGCTTTCTTTCACGAAATCATGAAATTACATGATGTAGAAAAAATGGCGGTTTCATTTCAAGTGATAAGAATGATATCTACAGAAATGGAAGAAACATCTGGATTTAAGCTGCTGAATTCCAACCTGCATGTATATAAGGTATTTCTCCCACTTCCCTAGTGTGCCTTCGTGGTGTAACGGTAGCACGCTGGGCCGGTATTCCAGAGGTCCGTGGTTCGATTCTCGGCGAAGGCGGTTGTATATTTCCCATCTTTTCGGCTACCAATTAACCTAATGACTCTACACGCAAAAACCTAAGACCTATTAATAATCCCTCTCCTGGAAGAGGTGAATTGTGCTATAAAGCAATTAAAAAACAATAAAGCTCTTGGGCCACATAATATTCCTTCAGAACTCTTAAAAGCTGCATTCTGCTAATCGAGGATTTAATTCAACTCATCTGAGATTATGAGATACTCCCAACTGAATGGAAACTTTGCACCGTCTGTTTGATGCACAAAAAGGGATATGTGCTTGACTGTAGTAATTATAGAGGAATTAGTCTTCTATGCGTATCCTTTAAAATATTTTCAACTATTCTTTTTAATAGGTGATAACGCGATCGGAGATTATCAGTGCGGCTTTAGGAAGGGAAGATCTACTAATGAGCAGTTTTTAATCTAAGGAAGATTTTTGAAAAATGCAGAGAATTTGAAATCGAAGCACACAATATTTTTATCGATTTCAGAACTGGGTATGATTGCGTTAATAGAGGCTCATTGAGGCCATGCGTGAAATATATATTTCAGAAAAACTTCCTGCACTGGTGGTTTCGACTCTTAAGGAAACCAAGACAAAAATTTGTTTACAAGGTGACCTTACAGAACAACTTGAAGTCAAAAATTGAGTGAGATAGGAGGGTGTACTAGCATGCCTCCTGTTTAATAATATTGCACTCAAAAACGTTATTAGAGATTTTATGATAAGTACCAGAGAAAATTTTTTAAATAAAATTACTCAATTACTGGATTATGCAGATGATATCTGAATTGTCTGTATTGTTTCTGATTTTAAAGAGGCATACATGGCATTAGAAAAAATGCAAAAAGATTTAACCTTTCTATGAACAAAAATAAAACAAAATATGTGCCTTGTCTAAAATGTAACTTACCACTAAGTCATTTAGAATTTAGTAAATATAGCTTTGTAACTACAGTTTCACTTATCTGGGAATGGAAATTATTTGTAAAAATGAGAAAACCTTTGAAATACTTTAAAGAATCTCTGCTCCAAATAGATGTTTTTATTGGCCTGACCAATTATTTAAAATACAGCTTTCTCAAATAAAGAACTAAATTACTTCTTTGCAAGACTCTTATAAGATCTGTTCTAACATATGCGTCGAAAGCTTGACTTTACGCGGCGACCACGTTTTAGGGATTTTCGAGCGAAGGATATTGCGTTGTATACTTGGTGGGGTCCATGTGAATGGATCGTGGAGAAGATCTAATTTAAAGCTATACAAGATTTGTACACAACGTGATATAGTAAAATTCTTCAAACTACAGAGATTTTAATGAAATGATCATCTGGCCAGAATGCATGAAGATCGGTGTTGTAAGAAAATCTTTCTGGCAAATTCCATAGAAAGAGACAGACAATGGCATTACGATGGGGGCAAGGGGGTGTATGATGCCCCGGGTGCCAAATGGTCTCCAAACAAGGTTTTCATCATATCACTGTTTTTTTCGGGGGGCGCCAAAATTGTATTTTGCCCCGGGCGCCAGTTATGCTTGCTACTCCACTGGAGACAGATCGACTATGCTGAAAATGAGCTAAACATTCTAAAGGTCAAAAACTGGAGAACAGTTGGCAAAAGAAGAGATGCCCAGAGAAGGCCAATGCCCACCCAGGGCTGCCGAGCAAGTGAAGAAGAGGAGGAAGATTTTAGACATCAGTATGCAAATTTTAAAGGATTTTTAGTAACTTTATAACATTAAAATAACTTCATAAACTTTTCTAATTTCTACTGAAATTTAGAGGTTTCTTATGTTTAAATGCTTTTAATATTGCTGACATCTTGAACAATCCCTATTTGAATTTAAACCATGTTACATGATAGCAGATGGTTCACCAGCGGCCAAGTGGTAAAGTTACTGAACACCGGTAGTTTGACAAATGTTCGAATTCCAGCGAATGGGCTGGCTGCATGGATATTTTCATGGTTTTACTCATGTGTAACATGGATAGGAGACAATTTTCCTTAGAAAAGGGAAGGCATCCCTCCTTTAGGAAAATAATTAATTAAATGAACCAAACCAAACAAAAGGAAAGAAAGGAGAAATCTAATAAAAAAAAAATCTGTGTGCGTAATATGTATCAAATTGCACTAAATTTTGATATTATTATATATTCACTAAATTAATTATTCACTAAATTTTGTGATTTATCTCTGGACATTTTCATTTATGCCATCCCCCCTGGAATAAATAACTTAACCTTCTATTATATTATGCACAAAATAATACCGAAATACTCAAAAAGAAGTGTCAACACACTGTAAGAATTATTCAAGAAGCAAAATTTTAAAAAGAATGGAACAAAAATTTACTTTGATGAATCTATTACAGAAAACAACACATTATTCCTAATATTTGGAGACTATTTTAAATGATTTTCAGTTATGCTTAATCTCAGCATTGTAGGGTTTCTATTATTTTTATTAGCAGTTATTTTAATATGTTAGCCTTTTCTGTCCTTTCTGATTTCTCTCATGCTTCCCTGACAGTATGTAAATGCGTTAGGATGAATGAAAGAGCATTTAAATTGAAGTAGCAAAAAGGTTAGTTATAGTGTGATTTTGCTATTGAGATCACGTCTTGTTATTACTACCAGTTGTTTGAATTTTGAATCTCAGTTTCAGACCTTGTCACTAAAATTAGTATCTTGCCGGTGTAGGTTTCTGTGTCAACCTGCTGGGTTAAATTAAATTATGTAGTCTTGTACCACTAGTTACCTTTAAATTTAGTTTGTTACATTTAAGCTCCTCACTACAAGTAGTTGGTGACAGTGTAAGCATGTAAGTCTGTGCCGTCTATTAATAGCTTGTGTTCAATACAAGGGTCTTTTATACCCTTTCCCTATTGTATTCATCTTCTAGTCTTTGCAAAAAGTCGTGACACAGACTTTCAAGTAGATCTAGTTACAGTATATGCTAGCAACAAAAGACTAGATCTTACAGTGTATTCAATAAAGTGTTGACATGATACAAAATGAGATCATTCAACAAATACAGGTATAATTTGAACTCACCTTTTTTCCTATGGTCAAGTTTTAAAAATTACCTTAAAATAAATACCAATTCAGCATTTAAGATTTTATGTAGAATGGTTCAAACTTGATTTTTGCCACCACAGAGGTAATTTTAAAGACATTCCTGATGCTCTCCAAAAAAAATATTGAACGATCTTTTCATGTTCTCACAAGTCATTTTAGGCAATAACTCTTACTGGAATATTTATTAATAATATTGTTATGGATTTTGCATATTTAGTTCACTATTTTTAATAGAATTGTTATTAAAATTGTTTCATATTCATGTGCAATGCAGCACGAGACTTATTTAGAGCAGGGGTGTTTGTGGGACCAGTAAAAGTTATCAGTAAAACATAGCAATTTTAGTTTACTGTATTACCATGTGTAATAAAAGGTACTTTACATGACTATGACACTTAGATGATTTCACCCCTCTCCTCCCACTAATCCACTAAAATCTTCCTGACTACATTTTCCTTGCTATTTTTAATTTATTCCTGTATATGGATATTTTTATAATTTAAAAAATCATAAATAAGTTGCTTGTGATTTAATAAACTGGCCACAAATAGTGACACAACTTGTTAGAATAATAAAAATCACCTTATGGATGAACTGAGCACAATTCATTGAATTCTAAAATAGATAGAAATCTTGCTGTAGAGAAGAATTTCACAAAAGATTATAGACAACACTTGACTGAAAAATTATTAATAAATCATATTTCTGACAATACAATACAAATATTTCTCTGATCATGGAAAACATAACTTATTCACTGTTGAATTTGATTTTAATTTGTCACCCAAATGAAATTTGCAGGAAAAACAAACAACTTGCATATTTATCTTAAAACAAGGTTCAAAATATAGCACAGAATGACATTGAAGCTTAACAGGCTTTGGAAAGAGAAGTAAACTAAACTATTCATTTCTTATTTAAAATATGATGGATATAAGTAAAACAATTTTGCTTTAATATTTTAATAATAAATATTATACGAAACTATAAGAAATATCTGAAGCTTTTAATGTGAACATATACATATATATAACAATTCAAACTCTAAATAAAATTGTCAAAAATATTTAAAACAATATAATGCTTTTGAGTTTTAGGTTATTCTTAGAATTTAAGAATAAATTAGTATTAAAAATAAATGTTTTAGAGATGGAAATCATAATAAAATAAAAAAATTTCTCCGTTTCAGATAAAGCTATTATGTGCAATAGTTTATTATGCCTGTTCTACCATAGAAAATATTCATATAGTATTACAAATTTAAAGTTAACAAAAGAATGTAATAGAAAGCATTGTCAAATAAATTTATTAACAAATTACTATTTAATCTCTTATAAATCTTGAATATTGTATGCAAACATAACTGATGACTGTGGCACATTGGTGTAATACTATACAGGCTGACATAAGCTTGGAAAGCATGCTTCAGGAGCTAGTCCATCTTTAGTACTTGTATTTATACAAAGTTTCATATACACCCATTTTATTTTCCAGTTGTCATCAAGAGTTGGATTCCTAACTAAACCAAAAGCACTGTCAAAGAGTCCAACACAGTCCGATGATCGATGTAGTACACCACTCACTATGATTTTAACTAAGCCATGCTGCTCTTGTTCACAAATAATAGAGTCTTCTGATACATTTGCATGAAAAAATAATTTATCTATTAATATTAAATTAGAAAGAAATATTACAACATCATTTGCTCCAGAAAGCATAACTTCCTTATGGTCCCAAGGTGATTTCACTTCAGCTTTGAAAAAGCAATCTGGCCAAAAATGTTCAGGCCCAAACTCTTTAATATTATTATATACACTGAAAAACCATTTTGAAAATTCTCTGCCCATTGCATTCATCAGAGATGTCTTGCTAGGCTGCTGAGCATCCATTTCATTTGTATCATATACCATTTCTGCATCCTCATAGTCACTTTCCTATTAAAAACAAAGCAAGCAAATTAAGCCATGTATTAAAAACAGAAATTAAATGGCTTGTAATAAAGAGAAGAAAAAAGCTGATCACAAAATATAAGGAAAATTCTAAAATACGAGAAATAATCTGATGAAACATCATATAAATTATTAAATTTCATAAATAGTAGGACGCTTCAGGAAGTGAATAACTAAGAATTTTCCATTTTACTAATAAGGTGAAAACACTTAACTTTAAGATGACACACAACTAAGCATAATATTAATTATTTTCCATATATCAGAACAAAAGACATATATAGTCTTCACAATGTTCAATACCCTGAATGATCTAATATGAGGAAGGGCTTCTCGATTACCAGCAGAAAAATGCATAAATAAAATAATATAAAATATCATCTACAAGCCTATGAATGACTAATATGATACTCAATAAAAGGAAATAAGTGTATTATAAATGAGATTTTTTTTTCTTTTTTTTTTCCAGACAAATTGAGAATGCTGTTTTTCACTTTTAAACACCTGCTGGTTAGGGAAATGATGTTGGCCAAGAACTGCATTGTCAGTTCTTCAGTCGTTGTGAGAGGGTAGCATTTTTTCGTAATCATGGAGAATGCAATTTATCACTTTTAGTTAAGTTATTTTTTAGATGGTGGCATTAAAATTGATTGTTGTTATAAGCATTTTTTTTTCCTGTCAGACTTTCTAATTTAGAAATGGTGTTTTAGTGGCAACATGATTACAGACTTTTCTATTTGACCTAAACAGTAAGTGATGTTGCCAATCCCTGCCACGCCACATGCCATTTTACTAAAATTAAGTTGATGATCTAAAATCTATGGCCAAAGTCCTGATGATTCTGAATCTCAGATTTATACTGTATAAAGATACAATTGTTTTAATTTTTCAAACATTCATTTTAGAACTTCAGAATTTCTAGTTTGAGCCCTCTATTATTTTCCAAACAGATCTTTTCATAATGGGAAATTTTCTTTAGATGGTATATATTTAGTTTTCTCTTTATCATCATTATGATTAAACCTTTCAGAATAAGGTGAATGATTTCATCACAAACATTTTAAGTTCATTCAATTTGTTATCAACTCACAAGATTCTTGAAACATTTGTTCATTTTTCGTCATTCCTTTTGTATAAAGATGCAATCTAAAATACAGAAAATTCCCGACTAATATACTCTGCTACAATAAAAAAATGAATGTTTAGCCACATATTTATGAGAGACTTCGAAGCAGAAATTTTTTATTGGAAATTTTACAATACTATAAATTCAAATTTGACTGTTTACATCTGACAGCCTATGCAGTTTTCAGGTGATGGCTGATTATTGGATTTTGGATTTCCTACCCTACTTCAAAAAGTAATCTCATACAATTTGATAACATATTTCTGATGATAGAAAAAACAAGATTATACATTCCTTTGAATGCTATATACACTCATGTGCAAAATTAAGAGAATTTGCCCATTATGATGAATTTCTGAAAAACGAATGGTCTGATTTTAATGAAATTTGGTATGATTATACTTTATAACAGAGAAAGAGATGTACTGTTCAAAAGTCATTTTATGTCCAAATGATTGATTATTAGGAAATCTCATACTGCAGGAATATCCAAATCCATTCTATGATATCGAACTGAAAATGGATGTCTAACATGGGATATGGACCAGTGGTGAACCACACAAAGATAGTCTCCCACAGGTTGCAATGCTCGAACTGTTACAAGGTGTGAGAAGACAGGCTCTGATTACTGTAGAAGCAATAATTTGTTCAGTTACAGTTCCACCTGCCATTCCAAGAATCATAACTTTACTGATAGTATCAATGGATTTTAGTGATCTGCATTTTGTCTGTCGCCAAAGTGCCTCAACTTCAGGGACACTTAAGGACCAATGACCTTGTTGCTCCTCTGATATTGTTTCAACTATAATGAATCAGAGGACATAAAATACAACTGAAAAACTAAGAGGGTATGACTAATTCAGTCTTGTAAACTGTTTTAGACAAGGCAAGAACTGAGAGTGCTCCTAAACTCTCGACAAAAGAGACTCTTGCTGCTACCAAGATCCTCATATAACGAGGACAACTTGCAATAATTGGTTCTATGCCCTCAATCTTGTTATGCATTGTAATAAAAATTCGCATAGATTTATATTAAACATATTTTTGTTCAATATGCAACTTTAACAAATACAACCAACACCAGTTACCACATGGAGTCATGCCATCAGTGCAGCATACCATTATCACCCCAGTTGTGACTGAGGACTCAGAACTGCATTAATGAACTAAACAATCAGGAACTATTCCGATAGCCAAACAACAATACAAAATAATGAAATTAAATGAAAGAAAACACATAAAAACAGTAAATTTTTGTTTTGATATTTTCCATATATCAGAACAACACATATACAGTCTTCCCGAGGTCCAATATCCTGAATGATCTAATATGAGGAAGGGCCTCTGGATTACCAGCAGAAAAATGCATAAATAAAATAATATATAAGATCAATTTGTCTTGCCTGAATCAATATAATTGCTGAGTCACCTGCATAACGATGAAACCTCTTGCTACTCAAAAACACCTTTTATTACATCCAACTGTTGCAGTGAATAATAAAGGAAATCTAAAGCAACTGTCAAATCCATCTTTTCCAGCGAACTCTCAGATAGGCTACCAAAAACCCTTCCATGCCGGACCATCACTTCAGTCTTCCATAGATAAACTGAAAAATACATCCATCTTCACTAAAGGTGTTCTCCAATACAGAAGGCTCTAATTCTTACTTCCTTCAGTGTTGTGTTTCTGTGACAACAGTGTGACTGTGCATACAGCAGCATATATTCAGTGATTTGTGTGTACTTAACATAGCACTTTATATTTAATTATGTGCCTTCAAAAATGTTCTGCAAGTGTCTACTATTTTAACAGCGAACAGATCAGAAAGAGATGTATGTATATTTCTTTGCTTCCCTGAATTTTGTCTTGATTATACATTAACTATAAATAGAGTGAAAAACAGACGGTGTCTTGACTATAATCAAACAGCTGATCAGTTGAAGGCCACTGGGTTTTTCACCTTGAGGGTGAAATTAAACACTCTTGCAAATTTTTCCCCTTTTTTCTTTCGGAGGCAACATTGCTTTGGAGAATGACGGAGCCACAGTGACAAGAAACTGTGACCGATTAGACTCAATCAGCGGCCTTGTAAATACCTTCCATTTGGAAATCAAATTTTGCTTTATGGCTGAGACAATGTGAAATCCAATTCATACTGCAGTGAATTCAGATGCATCAACTGTAACGCATGTCTCATATATATCTCCTGAAAAATGACAAATATCCAACTTTATTAAACAGAGTAATCACGGTTATGAAGTACGCTCCTTCAAAATTTTTCCACATTTTAAATAAACACATTTAATTATATACATTATATTCCATAGTACAGTTACATAGCAAATATGCGTTACACAGCTCTTCACACTACATGCTCAAAACCCACGCCACCTCTGGCTCAAATCGAAATTTTTCTCACACAGTTGAAGGATGCTACAATGCCCTCTATGGGAGATCACAACATAGATGGCCATTCAGGACATCAAACTACCTCTTAAATGAAATTATTACCTAACATTATTCTTAGTAAACACATAATTTCTAGATTATATAGCTCTTGCATATAAATGAGTAATACTAAACCTAAAATAACATATACATCTAAACAATGAATTACACAAAATTAATAACATAACTAATTAATAATAACATTAAAACTTCAAGAATTCAAAATTAATATCAAGTTCAAAATTTTTCCTGATACTTAACTGTCTATTGGTAATACACACAATTTGTGAATGGGTCTCTTGAATTCCCCATCAGCAGTTTTCAATTTCACAACACGAACTCTGTAATCATTACCTGGGTAAATTTCGGTGATACGTCCCAGTTTCCATTTTAAGGAGGGTGTGTTATCTTCATTAATGATTACTAGGTCATTTATTTTAATATTTGCTGATGCACGATGCCATTTTGTGAGAACATGAAGTTGAGTCAAACCAATACCTCCTAGAACTAACTCAAGGCCACGGCACGTTTTCCAGGAGGAGGTGTGACGTCAGTGTCAGTAGGGGTTGCATTTCATTTAACTCTCCCCACCCAGGACTGTGGTGGGTGGATTTCCGGAGTTTTGACGGTCACTTGGTCAGAAGTCGTCCATAAGAACAGTCGACATTTTACTTCTTTTTTCAGATATTTCTATATTATAAGTATTCCACTTTATTATTTGTTTTTCAAATTTTTGATATGGTTTACACATGCTGTGTACCTAACTGTAAAGGGAACTATCCAAATGGTCCAAAAGTACAGGTTTTCTCTTTTCCGAAAGAGAAATAATTCTCAAATAAATGGATAAAGGCGATTCATAGAAGCAATTTCAAGCGAACAAAATTTTCAAAGGAAAGTTTTTTTTTTTTTTTTTTTTTTTTTTTTAAATGAATGAGTTTACACCTATCTGTGCCTTAAAAAGTGCTTCTGTGTTTAAGTATGTTATAATTATCATAAACTAAAGCGAGTACATACATTTATAGAAAGTAAACATATTTAATCTTATTGTAAGTCTAATAGTGATTATATAAGTATGGTGACTTAATCATACTATTAATTTAATTTATAGCAGATAGTACTGTTTATCATCATGCTAATCGTTCAATCTATAGCAGATGGCATTCTTATCATCATGCTAGTCAATTTGTAGTAAATAGCATCATTTACCAAGTTAAGTAAATTAAACAAATGTGTGACTTAAAAGTAGGATTAGATTAAATGTAGGATTAATAAAAATTCAAAATTGTAAATACATTTTGTATGTTGCAAAATACTTGCCTTTAAATATATCGATACATTTGTCACAGGAACAGCGTATTTATTAAAATCCGAAGACCTTGAAAAATCTTGATAATATCTCTGTAACTAATACCAATTTTGTTTCTGATATTAATGCGAAAAAATACGCTATTTAAATTTTTGTTAGTTCATGCCTGATATTATTAAAATTCACTTAATATAACTTAAATCATTAAATATGAAGTTTTACAAAATCTTGTATTGAATTCTAGTTTAGATAATTAAATCCGATTATAACAATCTTTGCATGCAAGTGTTTCGTACTTTTTGTAAGTAAGCAACTCTTTATTTGACAAAAGATTTTTCTATCTAATTAGACATTATTCTTCAAAACTAGTACCTGTTTCACTTTATACAATTAATAGATAAATATGATTTTCTTTCTATTAGTTGTGAATAAACATTAACTTATATTATTTTAGTGGCTCACCAGCGGCCGAGCGGTTAAGTCGCTGAACTTTGGTAGTTCGGTCTGAGGTTCGAATCCCACCAACGGGCTGGCTGCATGGGTGTTTTCCCCATGTGTAACGTATATATGAGCCAGTTTCCCTTAGAAAGTCCTCCTCGAAGGCATCCCTCCCCTTAGGCAGATAGTCCTCGAGGCTTTGCTGTAATTAAAATAACCTAACCTAACATATATTATTTTATGCTACAAATTTTAATGAAATTTAATAATGTATGCTCAGTTTAAAGCCGAAAAACTTAATGTGTAAAAATCCTTGCTGATAGGTTTGTGCCCTTCATTTTTACCCTGAGGACATTTCAAAATGTACAGAATTCATTGATGAAAGGACTGGATGGAAGGTGACTGCTCCTTTATCGAGGTACAAATTAAAACGTTCTGCGATTCCTAGTATTTTTCCAAACTGCCCAAAATATATTTCAAGGGAATTTACCGTGAGAGAAAGCCCAGATGAACATCGTAAAAGGCCAGAAAACAAAAATCTTCAGTGGGCTGTAACTGAAAAGTATATCCCAGTTTCAGACGAATGAAAAAGAAAAAAATCCTTTTCTTCTTTTTCTGAATTTTTAGATAAGATGGGAAAAGAAAAGCTACCTGGCTCGTGGAACTGTATTAAAAGAGCACGGGAAGCTATCTTTTTAATTATTGAGCTAACACCGTGCCCTGAAATAAGTATTTCAGCATTAATATAACGAAAAACTTGAACTTTCAGTTTACATTGGGAAAACTGAACTTAAAAAATTTAATAATTTAACTTTGCCAGCATCTGTTGGCAATGTAGATGAGGTAATTTCTATTTTAAAAACGCTTTGTTGTCGTATGAATTTAAAAGTGATGTGCAGAATTTAAGAATAAATTCTGTTTGTGAAACTTAAAAAATATTGAAGAACAATACGATGAAAATAAGCAGAAAGCCATACAATTCATTAGGGAGCAATTAACATTAATTAATACATCCAAAGAAAACTTACAGTATTCTCCAGAGAGTATGATACTATTCAGTATTTTATGTATAATTTCACCCCATGCTTATAAATGCTCCTATCAAAATGTGAATACCTTCATCCAGTGGCGTAGCTAGGGTGGGGCAAGGGGGGACATCTGTCCCCGGGCGCAGCATCCAAGGGACGCCAAATTGATGCCACGAAATTTTTTAATGAAATGTTTTCCATTCTTGGCATACAGAAAGGGGCGCAAATTCTTCAGTTGTCCCCGGGTGCTGGAAACTCTAGCTACGCCCCTGCCTTCATTTGAATCCATGCATGCCTCAGCTAAATTTAAACCCTTTTGCTTAAAAATATTGGGGAAAGCAATGGGTGCGGCAGTAAACATTTCAGTAACTAATGCTTCTATCTCAATATATTGCTTAGGATCATTCCTATTCCTCAATGTTAATTTTGCTACACTGTAAGTTTTATTTATGGCTTTCGTAGACCTAAAAGCATGAACTGACAACAAATCTTTGTTTTCGAATGGTTTTAAGTCTAAGGGCATCTACCAACGATTTTGCAACCCAAGATCTCTCAGTGCCGTTATTCATTAAAACCCAGCCTAGTTTCCTTTTGAACAAGTCAGGACGGTACAAGTTTGCAATAAGCTGCCATTTGACCCCCGATAAGATGAGTTTGCATTTGAATTCCCTTCCCCTCCTTCGACTTTAGCTGATTTATTACTATTTTCACATAGCAAAGAGTGGTGAGCTAAGCTGTTACAATTCTTGCATGGGTCGAGCTTAGTTTTACAGAATCGCACTAAATGGAATTTTAAGAAAAAGCGAAAACATCGGTTATCTGTTTTTCCTTTTCCCGACACTTCCAAATTTGCAAAATTCCTGATCTTTGCTATTACAAAATATGCAGTTTCTTTTAACATTTGTAGTATAACTAGCAGTTGATATATTCCCAATTAGTATTAAGCTTTTCATTTTCAAATTTCCTGGAATTACTTTTATATTCATTACCAAAATTATGACAATTTTCAGTTTTTCTGCTAAATAAATATGTCTTTTCTTTGGATTGTATCTCTTTGTCTAGAAAGATAAATAAATCCTTAAAATTCCAATCACTATCTGGATATGTTCTATTGAATTCTAAAACAAGTTCTTTTAGAATTCTTTCTAACAAAATGGGAATCAATAAAGCGCTGAAAGATTTTTGTTTCAACTCTTAATGACTCTAAACTTCTAATTTGAGTATCAGCTTCGTCAAACAATCTTCTCAATCCAGCTAAATCATTTACACTTCTAATAATAAGAATTTTAAGTAACTCATTCAAATGTGTCTGTATAAGAGTATTCTTGTTACCAAATCTACCTTTTAATATATCCAAAGCAGCATCATAATTTTCTTCTGTTAACATGAAACCATTTATACAATTAGATGCTGTATTTCCTAAATATGACCTTAAATAATTAAATTTATCTATATTTGTAAGATTACAATTATTATGAATAGTGCTTTCAAACTGTTTATAAAATTCTAGTCAAGAAGCAGGATCACCATAATATTTATTATCAATTTAGGAAGTTTAACTGTTTTTTGGTTTCTCTAAAGGTTTGGTTTTCTAGTGCACCCCGAGCAGTTGCAGAAATAGAAAAGGATATGTTACTAATATTAATTTCCTCTTTCTTTAATATATCAATTACATTGGTTATCTTTTGTTTCCCAAGCATAATTTTTTCTGAATATTCCTCTGACACAGTAATTTCTTCTTCTATATCATCAATATTACAAAGACTTTTTACTTCATTGTGCAATCATTTTAAATTAGTTTTCTTATCTATTATTTGAGCTCAAAATTTATTTAAAGTGTCTACCTTATTCATAACATCTATCTTGCTAGAATCTTCTATAATAAAAGCTTCAACTTTGTATTCCCAAACAAAGTTTGCAACTAAACCACTAGAATCCACAGTTTCCAAGACCGACCATATCCTCACTGATGGCTCCAAAAAATGTGAAGCACGCTCCTACAAATTGCTCTACATTAAAAATAATACATTATATTACATAGAACAGTTACATAGCAAATATGCATTACACAGCTCTTCGCACTACATTCTCAAAACCTACACTAACTCTGGCTCAAATCGAAACTTTTCTCACAAAGTTTAGGGGTGCTACAATGCTTTATATGGGAGATCTCAACAGTGGGTTTCAATATTCCAAAGTACAGCAAATCTGTAAACTTTTATCATATTTACAATTAGGTGTAAAAAAAATTTAGTTTTCTTTTGAAACAAATGAAAGAACTATCGTCAAACATAACACATGATGATTTACAAAAAGCTTGAGTATATAAAGACTTCCTTCCAATATGCAAACACTTTTATTGGCTTCTGATGCAGATTTAACTCGTCTAGCTAAAATATTAGATTAAGTTTCAGAAGTCTTAAATGATACACAACCAACTATTTACACGGCATCAATTACTGAGCAAAATACAAAGTTCTCTTCAACAGTAAGCTAAATAAACAAACAAATAGAGAATCTCATTATGCAAGTTGAATGCACATTTTGAAAACAGTACAATCAAAATCCAAGATACTGTGCTAACCATAACTGTTCAAAAGGCAAGCTCATGCCAACACTGGTTACTGCTTTTACAATCAAAAGTTTAAAACTGATGCTCATAAATGCATTCCTCCATGCATTTTTCAGTCAGAAAACTAAATTTGGCTGCTATTCCAAAATAGCTCATGGATACTGAAAGAGCAGCAAACACTCCCAACACATTACACATATATGGTAAACATACAAACACGACATTTCTTGATACAGGTAGTGACATTTCCTGCATTCTTGAACCAAGAGAAAAACATATCAGTGTTCTTGCTCTAGAGCTATCAGCTGCTAATAATACTAAAATAAAATCTACGTGATTTTAGGTGCTAAATTTGACTTTCGATCTGAGGTAAAATTTTAAATAAGATTTCGTACTAGTTGAAGTTTCAATTCTCATATTAGTTGACACATTAAAAACTCTTGCTAGCAGAGGCAAATTAGAGCACAATACTCAACTGAACATTAAGATTGTTTCGGAATGCTCTCAATATTACGGAATTCATACAAGATTTCCCGAACTAACTAATCTTTCCATGCATAGGAAAGCAATCAAACATGACACAGTTCATTACATCAAAACTAAAGGACAGCCAGTCCACTCCAAAGCAAGATGGCTTAGACCTGAAATTTATGATGAAAAAAGAAGGGAGTTTGAATAAATGTTAGAATAGGGAATTTGCTGGCCCTCTAAAAGCAGCTGGTCATTGAGTCAATCATGCTTAAAATTGCATCACACAGACTGTCATGTTCCAGAGTCTGCCTCTGCCTCCACAAAAACTCTCTTAAATAAAAAAACAAATGACTTCCTATGAACCATTCCTGAGTTTTTACTTTGATGCTTTGCCAGCAGCTGTTAACATTACTCTTCCACTTTACATCTTCAATCATGCACAATATCAGCATATACAAATCTGTGATCTGTAGACGACAAAGTATCAGACATCTGGAAAGAAGTGATTGCTTCTGCTTTCTTGCTTGTAATTGCATGAAGCAAAATGCAATGAAAATTAAAATTGATCTGAAGTTGGTATTCAAATAAAGAAAAAAAAGAAGACATCTCCTCACTTGGCTAAGCCTAAAACACTAAAAAGGCATTCCCATTACTAAAAAATTATGAACAAATAAATAGAATAAATTAGAAATGAAAAATTACAGCTTATCATATTTAAATTAAAAACAGACGAAAATGATTCAAAGAAGCTTTCTGACATTGCTTGTGAATAATTTCTAGATGCAGATGAATAGTACCTTCTAGAATTCTAGAAAAATTTTCATCATTTGAAATTTTTAACACAATCTTCATAACCCTTTTTTTTAACGAATGAAACTTAATATGTTAAAAACAGCATAAGGACCAGAGTTTATACGAAAAAGTATATGAAAATATTTTTTTAGTAAAAAACTTGAATATATATATATATTTTTATGAATATATTGAAAGATTACACTTCAGGGTGAAAAAAATAAGTCAACACTAATTCTTTGAAGAGAAGTGCATAACTTTTATACAAAGGAGGGCAAAAAAAATCTTACCTTGTAAATCTCTTTTGAATGCCATTCCTCAAGACACATTTTAACAAGAGCTCCTTTACCAGCATTTGGATTAACATGCGGTTTAATGTTTCTTAAGTAATTAAATAAAATTTTCTTTGTAACTTTCTGGCGCCTTAGAAGATCACTAGGTTGGATAGTGCATGATAATATCGATTTGATTGCCCCTGAAATAGAGAACGACTATGGTCTTCAGAATTTATGTACTTCGGTTTCAAACAATTGAAAAATTAATTACATAAAAACACATACTTATTCAGATAAAAATATCTATTTCAGAATATAGTTAAACAAAGCAAACTTTTGAATTTAAAAGTACTTTGGAGTAATTTCAGCATTCTTACAGCAGAATGTGCCTACTGATTCAGACGTCTGATCCCTTAATAACATATATAATAAACTAACATATCTAATAAAACAGAATATAGCACAATTTATGTTTTTCTAACCATTAAACCTTGTACATAGACACTGTTCTATATTCATGTTAAGAAGCTGTTTGATTTCAGAAATGAACCTGCTAAAAAAGGGAGAAAATGTAAAAAATTCTTCCTTGTTCTAAGTTTAATTTATAATCTTAAGCTTACGGGTTCAGTAAACTGAAGAATAATGTTATTTTCTGCTCTGTTTTAATCAAGCTTTGAAATTTTATATTTAGACACAAAACACATTATTATATATCATTACAAGCAGGCATACCAGCATTGTCTATGTTTGCTTGTAGTTGTAGGAACTGTTTTTAAGTGGATACAAGAATAGAACTGAAGAGTGAAAAAGGGCACTTTATGCTTCTGAAATCAAGAATAATTTTGAACACACAGAAATGGATAATGAAAACCGTGAAATGTCAAATATGGTGGCAGTGATAAAAGTATTACGTTTATAGCATATTTAAGGGTGCCCATTGGATTATCGCTAAGTTGTTGTTTCATTTGTGGTAACCTGAGTAGTTGAATCTTATGGAAAGCCTATTATGACATAATTGGCTGCATCATTGTGGAAAATTTGAATGATGGGAAAAGGTTTGAAAAGGCTTGTTTGTGTGTTGGATGTTGGTTAGAAAGTATGTTGTTATTTTGTGGTTTACATGGTAAAATGGCTGAATATGGTAAGATTAATTTGAAGTTTCTGTACAATTTGTAACAAAAAGAGGAAAAAAAAAAAAAAGCATTAAAAGCTGGTGTGTAGATGAAGGTTTACTTAGCAGCCATTATAAGTGTTCTGTTTGTAGGAAGGAAATGCGTATAGCCCAACATCGGAGGATATTTTTGAGAATTTATGTGGCGACGCAAGTATACAGATTCTAGTTCAGATAATTTTAGGAAGTTTTTGGATGCTGTTAAGAAATTTTGTTTAACTGAAGACACAAAAATTTTTAACTAAGGTAAGTAGATATTTCCTTTGTGTATAGCACTAAGATGAATTTCCTTTTTTATGTTATTTCATTGTTTGATTTAAAATGTAGTTTATCGAGATTATATATTTTTTGTTGGCTGCTCCTTTGACTTTTAAAGTGAATATAGATCGATGTGCACATGGACAAAGTCAAGGGAGAGGGCAATGCTTAGTTTGTGCAATTCTCTGACGTTTTTCTAAGTGAAAATACACTGGCATGCAAAACTTAAACAACAATGTAAATTTTAATCAGATAGCCACAAAATTGCAGAAAAGGGGTTCTCGCGACCAGTACAATGAACATGCAATTCAGTCGAAAGGTCATGCATATGCAAATGTGAGGAATAAAATGTCACAGGTGACGTGTACGTATGCAAAACGCGTGCGGTCAGCACACTTATGCCTACAATAAGAGGAAGGACAGAGACGCAATTAAAGACATTCACTGCAAGTACAAGTGAGTTCTTTTGTGACATTTGGCTAGAAGAAATCACCTGAATGACTTCACACATGGAAGAATGATCAGAAAGCTGGAGGAGGGGCATAGTGTGACCAGTGTAGCTGAAGAGTTTGGAATAAACAAAAGTGTTGTTTCGCGCACTTGGAAAGCCTTCTAAACCACGGTTATAGATGTTAGAAAGATTGATGGTGGTCGCCCCAGGAAAACAACTGCAGTGGATGACCGATATATTGTCCAGCAGGTGAAAAGAGCCTGAAACCAGCCAGCAAATGCCATAGCTCAGCAACTGTGCACAGCAAGTGTTACGGTTTACTGTCTACACACGCTTTCACAAAGGTGGCCTATTCGTTCGTCATCTTGAACGCTGCATCCCTTTGAAAGTTGACCATCAGCGCCACTGTTTACATATATAGACTGGTGCAAGAACAAAAATTGGACATCTCATCAATGGAGTCGTGTCCTCTATACTGATGGGAATGGTTTTAGTGCCACAAGCAATTCTCAATGCAGTTGATTTGGAAAGAGGTCAGGACACGTTTTTATCCAGTAACATTATGGGAAAAAGTCCAAAGATCGTTATTATCAGGAGGTGATCCTTCCCCATGTGCGTCTGTTCCGAGGTGCCATTGGAGCAGACTTATTATTACTGTTTTATGACAATACATGGCCTTACCGGACTTCTGCTGTTCAGAAGCTACTGGAAACTGAAGATATTACTCAAATGAATATGCCAGCATACTTCCCCGATTTAAATCTAAAAGAACATGTGTGGAATGCTTTAGGAAATGCCTTGCGGCACGATTACATCCTCTGGGTAACAACCAACAACTGAAACAGATGGTGATTGAGGAATGGGCACTCTTACCTCAAGATCTGTTGGATAATCTAGTGCTAAGTATGGAGAGACAGTGTGAAGCAACCATTGCAGTAACAGGATGGCATATCCGATACTAAGGGACATCTGCTTATTGTTCTTCCTCTTGTACAGACAATCATGTGTAATGATACTATGAGTTCAATAAAGCCTTTTTTTGTATGATTCCATACAGTATGCATAGTATTCATTTCTGCACAACTATGCTTTCGTCACTGTTTAAATATAAAATGCTGTCTCTCATTTCTGAATTTCATGTCTCTCGGATGATTTCTCGTGGAGTTATTGCAACTCCTTCTTCATCCAGTTAGATTTCCCTCTTCTAGTGCCACAGGCAGTCATAAGGTCAGTCATTGAATATATTTCTTCATTTCCAGTTGACAGAAGAAATGATCTAATAGGCTCATTGCATTCAATTATGTTGCAATTTGACAAGTAAGTTCTCTCCGATTTTTTAATATTGTATCACATTTTTTGTTTAGCAATTCTGTATAATAAAATATTTTATGATTATCTACAAAACTGAGTATGTTTTTCAGCTCTAGATTTTTCAAGCACATTGTGCCTGAGCATGTCATGAATTGTAAAATATTTTAATAATTTAAAATTTTGCTTATTACAAGATTTGAAAAAGACATTTTCATAACATCATTATAAATATTTGTTTGATTTACACTTCAAAATGTCAGGGGGGAAAATAAATAAAATAAAAAGTAAAGAAAACAAAAATGTTTGATTTGAGAAACCTTCAAGACCTTGAAGAAATTCACGATTTTTGAGGCATCAGGTGAAGATTTTGATGTTGAAAACTATATTAATTCAGAAGATTGTGTAGAGGAACATGAAGAGGGATTAGAGACAGAACAAGAGAAAAGCAAAGAAGACAGCATTAAAGAAAATACTGACTTTTATTTGGGACAAAGGCAGACCACAGCACTCCAGTAATTTTGGCTTAAGTAGTGATAGTAATATTTTAGTGTCCTACATTCCAAGAAAAAACAAAACATCTTTCTTGTGTCCTCATTGCATGATGATCAAGCTATTGATTTTTCTACTGCAGAAAACAGAAATAATCATTCTACAATGAAACTTAGTTAGGAGCGGATATTGTAGATAAAATGTGCGGTTCGTATAATGTGTCTCGCCCATGGTCATCTTTTTTTACAATGTTAAACATTGCTTTAATAAATTCTCAGATCAGGCATGTAGGTAATGGGTACACAGTTCTTAGAAGGTTGTTCATAAAACAACTGTCTAATGAACTTGTGCTTGGATAATAGTTGTCTCAATGAAGTCTACTGGGATGCCAGTGCACTTATAATAAAAATTAAAGAGATACACTCCCAACCAAGAATAACAAGTTCAAAATTATGATGAGCCACAGATACCTCCAAAAAAGACACAAATGTGAAACATGCCATTTGCAGACTCATAAGAGAAGGTTAAACTAATATGAGTGCAAAAAGTGTCACACAGCAACTTGCCTCTGATAGGGAATGGGATTATTCACCATGCACATTTTGGCGTCAAGGCATATTTTTCTTTACATGACTGTATTATACCTTGCCGTATTATATTAAATTGATTTAAATTAATAGCTTAGTTTAGTTTAATAATTTAATTTAATAAAAATTTTATATAAAATAATATATATATATATATTGGTGTACAGTTTTGTACAAACACACCATTACACATGACATATTAATTTTAAGAGAGTAAGGTGCTGATAAGATTCCAAAGTAATTCCGTTTTCCATTCAGATTTCATAAAAATGTGAATTTCCTGCTTGTATAAGTGATTTCTCTGAACTAGCTGATTAAAATTTCATGAAATTTTGACAAATCATGCAAACATTGTACCCGCATAATTTTAAAATCATTAATATAACTTCTGTTATATCACAAGTTTAGCCCCAGTTCTCTCTGATATGGACATAATTTTCCAACTAACTATGTATAATTTCTTTACATCCCATACTTGTACATAACTATATATATTAAAAGCAACCTTTATTAAGTATATAAAAGGTAAACAGAATTATTAAACTAAATAAATTTAATACGAGTATAATACGGCAAGATAAAGTATAGTCACGTAAAGAAATATATGTCTTGATGGCGAAACTCCATGCTATAAGAGAGAAGTAAAAGGACAGATATCTCCTAATGAATCAGATGAATGAAAGATTATACTTATATTCTAGTTTTAATTAAATTAAAATCTATAATAAGTCCTGTACAACAACTTTATAAAAGTCATTTTACAAATTTTGTTTAAGATAAATAGTTTTCTTTTAAGAATATAAAAACTGTTTTATTGTCCCTTAAGTAATTTTATAAATTCTGATTAATGGTAAACATTATATTTTTGTGAGAAAAAAACTTTTTATGTATAAAAATATTTAGTAAATCAAGAAGTGCCTCTCAGGTTCAACG